TCAGACTGGCCCGTGTGTTCACTGTAATGTCACAGCGCCAAGTTAGTTAGAGGAAGAAGTATGCTTCCGAAACAACTTTTCAAAATAAAATGCAGCTTTGACAGAAACACTAGAAAGTAGGGCTGGGTATCTCACTGATTTCTAGAATCGATTTGATTCCGATTCACAAGGTCCCGAATCGATTCGATCCACGATTCGATTCAATTCGATTCGATTTAAATCTGGGAAATTTTGACAGTCAGAAATATTATAATTCAGATCAGTACATTTACATATTTTTCTATCTATAAAAAGGAAGCTGACACTTTCCAGACTTTATCAAAGGTGTGAGCATCACAGCAGATGCCTTTGTGTCAAAGTAGCTGAAGATAAAACACAGAAAAACACGAAGGTGATTTTCCTGGCCTGGGATTTTATAAAAATATTCTGCAGTACATCAAAAACAAAAGAAAACCATTAATCAACATATGAACATTACCTCTGAAGTTAAACAGCAGCCGACAGTGCTGTAAACAACAGTAGACTTGTGCGTAACAAGCAAGCGAATAATGCAGAAAACAGATTTTTAGACGGGAAACTGTTCTTGAAGTATACTGAGAGAGAGAGAAAGAAAGAGAGATGTGCATGAAGTGTGGTGGAAGCAAAACAGCAAAAGTCAGAGGGAATTCATGACGATGTTTTTATGAAGCGTAGTTTGGATCTTCTTTTGCTGCTGGTTCGGTCAATAATGTTTGGAGAGAGATAAAACTAACAGCTTTAGAATCACCGCAAAAGGGCGTAAACACAAAGCGCGGACCCGCCGAAACTTCGCAATCAGCGAGCTGTCGGCTTTCAGCCCCGACTGTGTCCGTGCCGTCATGTGAGAGAAAGGCAACATCTCACTGATTCTGATCCATCGGCGGGTCCGAGCTTTGTGTTTACATCTTTGTGCAGAATCTGTGTTCCTGCTCTCATTTACTGTTTTAGCTGTTTGGGGGTTCTTGAAATTTTGTGAGGTTTAACCTGAGATTCTAGCGTTTCGGGCAAAATAAATTAATATTAAAAAAATCGATTCAGGATTTTAATGAATCGATATCACGTTATCCAAGCCAGAATCGATTTTAATCGATAAATCGATTATCAAAACCCACCCCTACTAGAAAGTACAGTACTGTAAATGTGACCGCTGCTAACTGATGTCGCTTTAGTTTAATTGCTGTTAAACTATGCGTGTTTTACTGTTTTACCGCTGCCATTGTTTTTAGAACTTAAACGTGTCACCCTTGAGAAACAATATCGACTCTATATATTTTTTCTCTTTGAAACCGCTTTAGCGGCCAATTGTCCTGACCGTTCTTTTATTTTCAAACTTTAAGTGTCTAGACTTCCTGTTCTTCCATTTGACGCAGCCCCCGCCAGCGTCAGCTCCAGTCTCAGGACAGGGGGCGGAGATAAGTGACGAAACGGTTGTCCGGAAACAGCCAATCAATGAGCAAAGAATGTGTCCGACCCGGAGCTCTCCTTTACTGTAAACGCCTGTCCAGGATATACGATTTAAAAAACAGACTCTCTGCACATGTTTCTGCAAAAAACGTCTAAGAATTTAGTGAAAGTGAAGTGAAAGTAAAACAAACAAAAAAAAAAACACCCAGTGAAACTGAAAAAAATAAGCACCATACCCGGTAAACCTGTTATTAAAACCAAATTAAACTAAAATCAAATTTAAAACGAAACCAAAGGTAAAAACCTTTGAAAAATGAAAATACGACAGCAACTCAACCCAGGTTGATGTTTGTGCCCTATCCCAGTTTGATAGAGGTTACACACCATTTTTAGAATACATACAGTGCTGTGAACAAGTATTTGCTCTTTCTGTTTTCTTTTTCTTCTGTGTGTGTCTATTTGTCACACTTTCAGATCTTTTTCAGATTATCAAACAAATTTTAGCATTAGACAAAGATAACCAGAGTAAATACAAAATGCACTTTTTAGATCATGATCAAGAGTGGGGAAAAAAGCTATCCACGCTTGGCTCTATGTGAAAAAGGTCATTTGAAACCTAATAACTGGTTGTGCCAGTCTTGGCAGCAAGACCTATAATCAAGCAATCATTCTGGTAATTGGCAATGAGTCTTTCACATCAGTGTGGAGAAATTTTTGCCTGCCTTCTTTGCAGAACATTTTTAAATCAGCCAAATTCAGGGAACGAACGGGGCGGACATACTTTGTCTGGATTTTCTGGTAGAAAGCAGAATTCATGGTTTCATCACTTACTGGAAGTTGTCCAAGTCCTGAAGCAGTAAAGCACCACCAGACCATCACACTACCACCACCATGTTTGATTGTTAGTATGATGTTCCTTTATGGAAAAGCTTCAGCTTTTGTCTCATCAATCCACAGAATAGTTTCCTAAAACTCTTGAGGATCATCAAGATGTTTTTTTGGCAAATTTTGGCAGTCAAGCCTTTATGTTCCTTTTGGTCAGCAGTGGTTTCCTCTTTAGAGCTCTCTTGTGGATGCCATTTTTCCAGTCTCTTTCTTATTGTTGAATCATGAAATCTGACCTTAACTAGGGCAATTGAGGCCTGCAGGTCTTTAGATGTTCTGGGTTCTTTTGTGACCTTTTGAATAAGTCGTTACTGTCCTCTTGCAATTTTGGTCGGGAAGGTTCGTCACTATCCCAGGTTTTCTCACTGTTGTTCACTGGAGTCTTTAGAAAAGCTGTAGAAATGACCTTAACCCTTCCAGACTGATAGATGTCAATGACTTTGTTTCTCATCTGTTGAGTTTCTTTAGACCATGGCATGATGTGCTGATTTTTGAGGTCTTCTTGCCAGCTTCACTTTGTCAGACAGGTTCTGTTTTATTGATTTTTTGATTCATTATATCTGGCAGTAATCAGGCCTGAGTGTGAATAGTGACATTAAATTCAGCTTTCCAAAGAAACACACAAAAAAGTGGTTAATCACAGTTAATTTACGATGTACAAAAGTAAGAGTTAACGACTTTTTTACAGCACTGTATACAGCCAAACTGGTAATCTCAGCAGCAGTTTGGTTACTAAAGTAAAGATTCAAGAGCTTTATTGTCAATACAGTAGTATACACAGTATACAGTGTACCGCAATGCTGTTTCACCCTAAGCCCCCCATGGTGCATTTATACATATATAAAGGATATATCTCCAAGAGATATAAAACTAGGAATTACAAATAAATAATAAAATTAAGGGATAAAAAGGTACTAATTACTAACTATACAATTCTATACAATACTATAATGGTAACTGTAAAATATTAACTGTACGATAAACAAAGATAAACAAAGACAGGACAGAGACAAAGTGGAATGTGCAGTAGGTATTGAATACCAGTTTCAAGTTATTGTCAGGATATTAACGAGACAAGACAAAGACGTGCAAAATGTGCAAATATAATATAATTTCGGTGTGTGTTCAGAACTCTGTGACTGAGTGTGCAAAGCATACTGTTCCCAGGACCAGTTCGTAGTGGATTTGTGGTAGTATTTGTTGTTTTTGAGTCTTTTGATGATTATTGCAAGGTGTTTGTAGAGGTGTATGTTTATATCAGTCCTTTTGTGGTAGTGAGTTGAGGGCCCTGCCTGCTTGGGGGAAGAAGCTCTTGCAGTGTCTGGTCGTTACAGTTTTAATGCTGCGAAACCGTCTGCCAGATGGAAGGAGGGAGAACAGTGCATGTGAGGGGTGGAAAGTGTCCTTCACTATGCTGTTCGCATGTCGAATGATGTGTCTGTCACAGAGTTGGGAGATGGATGTGAGAGGGCCTCCAATGATCCTCTCTGCTGTCCTCACGATCCGCTGCGGAGACTTCTTTTCAGCGAGGGTGCAGTTCCCGTACCAGATAATGATGTAGCAGCAGAGGACGCTCTCAATGGTTCCCCGGTAAAATAATGTGAGGATAAGAGGAGGGAGACTGGCCTTCTTCAGTTTCTTAATGATAACGACTGTGTTTAGACTGTTCCCCCCATTCCATGTAAGGCCACCTGGGTTGGCTGGAAGACTGTTTACTTAGCCTGGCAGGATGAAGGACACTGTCTCAGCTGAACTCTGGACACACACACACATACACTGATATGCACACACTGATCCCCCCCTCCCTTTCCAAACGCCTTCGATGCTTGTGCCGGGGAAGATGGCAGTCGACTGGACCAGCGCAGACATGCTGCAGGACCGGATGCGCTGTCTACACCGGCTCTCTCTCACCCTTTACCCGCCCCTGTTGCTTGTCTTGTGTTTCTATGGTGTATTGATAGTCATGTGCTTTTTGTGCTGAGGTGTTTTTTCTGTTATCAAACTGTTCTCCCACTAGGAGCTCAGTCTGAGTGGAGTTTTTTTTCTCCTCCTCTTACCTCATGTTATGTATTTTCGTTGTTTTTTTCCTATCAGCCTACCTTTCTGACATGTCTCCCCAATGTGATGTTTGTGTAAAGTTGGTCAGAAGGTTCCTTTGTAAGTGTGCATGTGCCATTAGCGTGCTGCCTGCTGTAACCCTAATTTCCTTCGGGATTAATAAAGTATTCTGATTCTGATTCTAAGAAAGTGAAGACGTTGTTGGGCTTTCCTCATGATGGTGGTTGTGTTCAGGTTCCAGGAGAGGTCAGCTGATATGTGCACACCCAGGAACTTCACACTGATGACCATCTCAACAGCAGATCCGTTGATGTGCAGTGGGGTGTGGGCCATTGAGCTCTTCCTGAAGTTAACAACCATCTCTTAAGTCTTCTGAACATTTAGAGACAGGTTGTTATTCTGACACCAGTCCACCAGGTGTTGTACCTAAACTCCACGATGTAAGATATTTTGTGCATCTGTCAGTTTCCAGGAACAGTGATCAGACAGAGTTAATCTGAAACCAGCTATATATGTGCAAACAGCTCCTTCTGAATGGGACAAAAGCAGGTAGGAAATGCCTGTGTGTGCGTGTTTATATGTGTGTGTCACTTTGACAGCTGGGACAAACTGCTATCAGTCAGCACAGCGGACAGTGAAATACCTCCACCAGGACCTCCAGCCTCTCATTTTGCTTTGAGATATTCAAAATCTGCTCATCCTCTCAGGAACTCGTGTTCGAACCTCTTTTTTTCTCTTCTCTTGAATTTCTTTATGGTTTTGTGTGAATTTATGATGGGGAATTAAAATGGTGAGGAAGAAAAAGCTGCTGGTGTTTGAGTAAGTACTACTCTTGGACGCCTTTTCTCTTTAAAATGTTTGCTCAGTGTTGCCTATTTGGTCTGTAACCTCGATTTAGTTATTACAATATACTTCTGTCACATGACTTTATACATGTATGTTTCTGTATTTGTGGCAGCTCTCAGATGCTGATGCGGTTTTGATTTGGTGAATAATGTATGGACACTTATTTTCAATGTGTCTTGGGCACCATACATTAATAATGAGATGGATATAGCAGCTGCTCGCCCAGGCAGATATTGATTTCATGCCATCCAAGTGAAATTTTATTCAACATTAAACTCTGACCTTGGGAAATATTCACACTGTAATCATTATCATCCAGGAAAGAAAAATAAGAGAGAGAGGGAATTAAAGACATGAAATGACAGGTGAAATATTTTTTTCCTGTGTGAAATAACCTGTGCTCAAACTATTTTCTGTCAGCTTCCCTTTTGTGCTGCTGCTATTGTGGCAGCACAGGTGAAACAAGAGCTCATGTGCGTATTGTCTGTGCGAGCTGGTGTGTATTGTGCGTGCGTGTATGTATGGGTGACCTTTACATTGTGTTTTATCTAGCATTTTCTTGCTCTGGGAATTTTGTTATTTTCCCTTTCGAATCTTATCAGACTAGGAAAGGAAAGTGGAATTTCTCCATCTCTTGGTGTAAAAGCAGTTTGTATTTATCAGCTGAATTGAAAGGATTTTCTCTCTGTTCTTCTTCTCTTCTTAGAATTTGTGGAAGCATGATGTGGGATGGATAAACAACTACAAAACTCTAATGTAAGTTTGCTGGATAATGTGCGTTAGCCATGTGTGTTTTGGGGATTGAATGACAGCAGAGAGGGATACACATATGAGTGAGCGGTCACTCTAGCAGCAGTTTTTCCTTATCAGTAATAATTATATAATCTGTAATCATGTAGCAGCGATAAGATTTCTCAAATCTAGTGAGAAAGACTTCACATTTTGCAAGTGTGTTACAGATTTCACATTTTCTAAAATGACAAATATTCTATCAACTAAATATTTCTGTTATTTTTGTTATTTAAATGTCCTTTTAAGCATGTATGTCTCTCTGTGGCTCTCTGTGTAGATGGCCTCTAATGAGCTGGACCTTCCTGCCCTCTCTGGTGACCCCCAGCCTGGTGACCTCATTGAGATTTTCAGACCAGCCTATCAGCATTGGGCTCTCTACCTGGGAGATGGTTACATCATCAACTTAACTCCTGTTGGTCAGTAAAAGAGTTTCTAACGTAAAACTTGCGGCTATCCTCACAAATCTGACATAAACCTGTCATGTTTTAGACTGAGGTTAAAAGGCTCACATTACAAACTACATCCTGATGCTTAATTAAATTAGAGAATAGTTCTCTCTTGGCTCTTGACGGAGGCGGTCGCATTCTTCTCCCTCTCCCTTATCTTTCCTGCTTGGCTTCTCATGTCTTTTGTATAGTCTCGCTTTCTAACCCTCAAAGAGTTTCTCAGTCTTGTTCTCTAAAACCGAAAGAATTATGGATTTGATCAACTGGTCCCGTAGCGGAATTGACACCTTCCTGGGCTTGGGAGAGCCCGATTGTCCTGCGGAGACATTTGCTGCCGGATACTCGATGGTCGGTTGCATCGTTTGTCTGGCGACACTCTCGATGGAGGACAATGAACGACATCTACCAATTCAGAACCATGATAACAGCGTTCTGGCTGACTGGAGCTGGCTCAGACCTGGCTTATCGAAGTACAAGAAGCAGCTACAGCTGTTCAAAATCCCACAAGGCTGGCCGACGTGATAGACGATGGGCAGGGCAGTGAGTACTCAGACTGTGTTTTGAACTCAATATGGATACGATCTTGGAGAAGAACAACGGGAATTGAGAGAATTGGTGACCAGTGACGGACATTAGACCAATTGTAAAATTGGATGCAGTTGTTCGCACTAAATATTCACCATCTTCACTCATACGGCCATCCCACTGGCACCAGCTGAAGGCCTGCCAAGGTTGAAGCTGACTGGAACAACAACCTTCCTTCAAGGCCATCCGCGCTGATCGAAGATTGTTGACTTTTGCATAACCGGGTGAAGGGACACTTTCTCTCGGTTGAACATGGAAAACGCACACACACGCATGTACACTGACACAGACCTACACTCACCCCCCACCCCCTCCAAACGCCTTCGAAGCTCATGTCTTTATGTTGTGAGATGTGATGATTCATGTGCTGAGGTGTTTTTTTCTGTTCTCAAACTGATCTTCCTGTTGGAGCTCAGTCTGGGGGGAGTTATTTTTTCTCCTCGTCTTTCCTCATGTTGTGCATTTTCCATTGTTATACCTCTCTGACCTGTCTTCCCCATGTGATGTTTGTCTAATGTATGTATGGTTGGAGGGTAAGATAGCGCTGGCAAAGCCCGGCAGCCTTAACCCAATTTCCTTCGGGGTCAACCTTCAGGATCAATAAAGTTTTATTGAATTGAATTGAATTGAATTCAAATTAATTTTAGCTTTGTTTATTTCACTAAGGTCTGGGCACTTCATAACTCCTGAGATGTCGTTTATCAAATAATTGAAGGAAGAGTGAAAGGAGGTTAAAAATGAATACAATACAACTTTGTTGACCTGTTAAACTGAAATACCCACTCTGACGCCACTGTGCAGTGACTAGTAACATGTAACATGTAAACAAATTCAGGTATGAAAATACTGATAAATCACTGATTTGTGCATGAAATGTTTGTATCCATAAATCATGCACACATTTTTGTGTATGCACTGTTAGTAAGTGAGGGCCATTGTTCCAGATGCAGCTTTGCAAGCCTAAACTCTCCTGTCGTGCTCATTTTTAGAGAAAAGAGGCTTTATCTTGGCAAACTATTCATACTGGTTCAGTATTTTTCTAGCTGTCATGAATTTTAACATTCAACATGCAGACTGAAGCCTTTAGTCTGAGATGTAGCTCTTGGGTGATCGTGGGGCTATGATGTGCACTCCTGGGAATATTGTAGGATCGTGTTTACACACATCTGAATGCTCCAGGCCAGCAAACTGCAGAAACTTTATAGAGGTGCTCACACTTTTTGATGATTATGTGCATTTTCCAGGGAAAGAGAGAGGATGTTCTTACTTTTTCACAAATACACCCAGAGTCCTGTAAAAATGTCCTTTTTCATAGTGAACTGCATTCACTGTGAAACGGGCTGGGATAACATATCACAATTTTCACCCCCTTATAACCAAAACTTGTTTTTACCCTTTTTTGACAAGCGTGTGGCCCCTGTTATCTGCAGATGTTGGCATCCCCTCCCCCTGTTTCATACTTGAAAACGTCCCCATTTCTATCCGGTCTTTTAGTCTGATGTCATTAGCTGTTTCTGGGTCCAAACTCCGCTTCAGGTCCCAAAGTCAAATGAACACTGCGGTATAACTCAGCGTTACAAACTGTCTAAATTCTTTCATCTTAATAAAATGATCAGCTGCTTTACCAGGTGTAACAATTCAGTTTAACATCCAGGCATCCATGAAAACAGAAGTTATGAAATTTAACTGAGTTTGAAGTTAGCAGGAGGTTAGCTCGCTAGTTTCCACCTAAACATGATAGAGTATGTTCTGACTGAGAGATTTAAAAAAAATGAAAACGTACAGCTCAGTTGTTCTCTTGACTGAAGTTTGGTCCATTTACAGCATCCTGTGATTGCATTTGTCTCTAAACATCGGGAACCCTCACGTTAACTTTTATCGAGTGGAAAAAAGGTTAGCATTCATTCTCCAGCTTCATTGTGCTAATGTGTTTATATCTGGTCTTTAAGTCTGGCGTCATTAGCCTTAGCCTACAGAAGAGTCTTTCTTCTCTTCCCTTTGACAATTTAAATCATCTCTCCTTTCCCACAGATGAGAGCCAGGCAGCCGCCATGTCCAGTGTGAAGTCTGTCTTCAGCAGGAAGGCAGTGGTACGCATGCAGCTACTGAAGGAGGTAGTGGGAAGTGATTCCTACCGTGTCAACAACAAGTATGACCACAACCACACACCCCTCCCTGTCTGTGAAATCATCCAGCGGGCACAAGTCCTCATTGGCCAGGAGGTCTCTTATGACTTGCTGGGGAGCAACTGCGAGCACTTCGTTACCCTTCTTCGTTACGGGGAGGGGGTGTCTGAGCAGGTCTCTCACTGTTTGTTCTGCTTCTGTCTGGTGTGTCACTAAAAGCGACTAATAAATCCAAAACATTGGCCCTGTCATAGTCTCACATTGTCAGACATTTAAAAACATTGACCAAAGTGGCAAATCAGAGTGAACCTTAACATCAGGGATTTATCCATCCTAGGGCTCTACTATACCACTAAAATGAAAACATGATACTTTGTCCCAAAATATAATTTATAATTCTATTTTTCACCCACATATAATCTTATAATTGCTTTAATTATGACCATGTTCTGTATTGAAAACAACGACATCCAAATCTACTTTAAAGCTATGTTTAAGAGCCAAATACATCCTGCCAAAGCCTTAATCTTTACACAACAAATCAGCTTTGAATTAAATAATCAGCTCAAAAGAGTTTACGGGAAAAAAAGGTTTACTGTAAATAAATGTGTTGTTGCCTGCTTCCTCTTATAAGTTAGGCAAATCTGAGTTACAGACTAATGAGTTAGTCTTGTTAAGTTTGGAATCATGCTGTATTGTAAATATGCAATAAAATCAATCAGCCTCTGCTGCTCCTATTCTAACCCGCAGTCCACGCCCTGCCCCTCCTTCTTGTCTCCACAGGCTTCACGAGCCATTGGGGCCATCAGTTTGGTGACGGCAGCAGCCAGTGCCTTCTCTGTCCTGGGACTGATCAACACACGGTCCAGAAACAGGCCTTTCTGACAGCTGTAGTCTTCACTAAAGTGTTTTCCCTAAATTCATTTGGCTGTGATAAAAAATAACAAAATAAACATTGATAAAGATTTAAAAAATGATGTTATGTTTATTAACAAACCCCATATACCATTACAATATGGCCGCAGTTGTTTGTTGATCCAGTCTTTGTTGTAGGCAGGAGTTGTGAATTATTTGACCAAATTATTTTTTTTAACCCATGGAGCATTAATCATAGTTTGATGGGGTTAGGTTGGTGAATCTAAATTGCCTGTAGGTGTGAATAGTTGTCTGTCTCTTTGCGACAGATGGGTGACCTGTCCAGGGTGTACCCCGCCCTATAGCAGCTGGGATTAGGTCCTAAAGAGATGGATGGACAGAAATGTATCATCACCTTTGTAACTGAAAAACTATAAGCACGCTGGACACCAGTATAGGCCATAGTAAATACTGTGGATCCCTGTTTTCTGTAATTTCAGCAAACCAAGCATGGTGTGTTATTTTCACTTAATTAATTTTTGATCTGTAAAGAGTGATGCCATTAGATGAAAGCAAATAATGGGTAATGGAGAGTTGTTGAATGAATGAATTACAGTCTTATTTTACATTGCTCAGACTGCCATGGTAAATGGCCTGTATTTTTATAGCACTTTACTTAGTCCCTAAGGACCCCAAAGCACTTTACACTACATCCAGTCATCCACCCACAGGTGATGGCAGCTACATTGTAGCCACAGCTGCCCTGGGGCGCACTGACAGAGGCAAGGCTGCCGGACACTGGCGCCCTTTGACCACCACCAGTGGGCAACAGATGAAGTGTCTTGCCCAAGGACACACCGACCGAGACTGTCGGAGTCGGGGCTCGAACCGGCAACCTTCTGATTACAAGACGAACTCCCAACTCTTGAGCCACGATCGCCTGTATGCATGACAAGAACAGTCCTTCTCCCTCAATAGCAATTCATAAACATGAGCTATTTTTGTGTGTCTAGTACTAATCTTGTCCATATAACTGGATATATTTATAGCAGCAACGGCATTAATAATAATAATGATAATAATAATAATTATTATTATAATCAGTGGCACGGTGGTTAGCACTGTTACCGCACAGCAGGAAGGTCCTGAGTTCAATTCCAACATCAGGCCGGGGTCTTTCTGTGTGGAGTTTGCATGTTCTCCCCGTGTTTGCGTGGGTTCCCTCCGGGTACTCTGGCTTCCTCCCACCATCCAAAGACATGCAGCTTGTGGGGATAGGTTAATCCAAATTGTCACTATGTGCGAATGAATGTGAGTGTGAATGGTTGTCTGTCCCTGTGTGTTGGCCCTGCGACAGACTGGCGACCTGTCCAGGGTGTACCCTGCCTCTCGCCCTATGACAGCTGGGATAGGCTCCAGCGCCCCCCGCGACCCTGAAAAGAATAAGCGGAAGCGAATGGATGGATGGATATTAATAATAATAATAATGCATTTTATTTAAGATATCGTAGTAATGTGTTGTTAACAGCAGGTGGCGAAACATGCGCGAAACTAACAAACAAATCCGAAGAAGAAGAAGAAGTGTGACGTCGTAGTCCTGCGCCGGCACGTGTACACGTGCTGTTTTCATAGGCAGAGGGGTGTTTTGAGTGTGTGACATATCTGTGTGTTAAGGTCCGGCGTAAAAGTAAAGCAGCAAATATGGGGAAGAAACTTAAGGTCGGAAAGACCCGGAAAGATAAATTCTACCACCTGGCCAAAGAAACAGGTAGAGTACCGGAAAACAACATGAGCTCGAGACTGTCGTGATATTAGCATTAGCAGGCTAAAGCTCCGATCGATATAAAGTGTGGGTTGCAGACTGCTGGCAATCTTTTAAATCTCCTCTTTTGTGTAATTTTTAGGTTATCGCTCTCGTTCCTCCTTCAAACTGATCCAGCTTAACCGTAAGTTCCAGTTTCTGCAGAAAGCCCGAGCTCTGGTGGATCTGTGCGCTGCACCTGGAGGGTGGTAAGCATCCCGTCACCAGACATGCCGTCGTGTGTGGTAACAAAAGGAAAAGAAGTAACCCCTCTGGGGGGAAGCTGGCCAGTTGACCACTTTGCAGTCTTTGGTCATTCGCTTCTGTCACATTTGAACGATCACCAAAGGTCTTTGTTATAACAAGTGGCAGCTGAGTCAGGGACAGAGAGAAGAGAAAACAGCGACCACGTTGACAGAAGTGTTAGAATAGAATAGCCTTTATTGTCATTGTACAGAGTACAACGAAATTGGAGTGCCACTCCTTTGGTGCAAGATAAATAATAAATATAAATGTAAAATATAAAAAGTACAATAAAATAATCGCAAGTACTCAAACAATAGTAAGTACGATATATACAGGATAGCAGCATTAATATAATGACAGTATGGGGGAGAGGGGAGAAAGTAGGGGGTGAAAGTCAGGGAAGAGGAGCTGACTGGTGATTGTACAGTTGCAGTTTGTGTAAAGTTGCATTAACTTAGGACCGTGTGTGACCAACCTCGACCTCCTCTCTGGTGAGCACGACTCTGGTTCACTATAATCACAGACTTTCTTTTGCTGTGATTACAAGATAAAATGCACGAGCTTTACAGAAATGACATTACGGTACAATACGTCATGACGGAAGCGAAAACGGATAAATGAGTGATTTGTACTATGCAAAATAATCAAAGTTGAATTCAAAATCTCCTTTTCCAGGTTGCAGGTAGCGTCTAAGTTTATGCCTGTTTCAAGTCTGATTATCGGTGAGTGCAAATTTCTCCAATGATAAATGGCTCTGTTTCTGTTATGCTTCTAAAGCAGCTGTAATGTGTGTGACAATACTTCCCCATAAGAGTGGTTTCTTCTTCTCAGGTGTTGACTTGGTCCCCATTAAACCCATCCCCAACGTGGTGACACTTCAAGAAGACATCACCACTGAGAAATGCAGACAGGTGAGAAAGCTGCTGCTGTTCACAGCATCACTGAAAAAACATAAAATCAGAGATGATATTTCAACAGTACAGATGTGGACAGCCAACGCTATGTTTGTGACATGGTTTTAACTGATGAGACACTCTTTCCGTTGTACAGTCTCTCAGAAAGGAGCTTCAGACTTGGAAAGTGGATGTTGTGTTAAACGATGGAGCCCCAAATGTGGGAGCTAACTGGCAGCACGATGCCTTTTCCCAAGGTGAGTCGAGACAAAACGTCTAGAGATCAGACTGCAGTAAAACAGCATTCGCACAATATGTCCAAAATGATTTAATTTGGTTGAAGAGGATTGTAAGGGGTTCTTTTTTGATACATCCTTACCACTCTTTGATTTTGTGTCTCTGTTGTGCCTAAACTAGTTCATGTCCATTTTCCACAGTATTTGGTATTTAAATCTAATTTTGAAATCCTCCCTTTTTCACCCACAGCTCACCTGACTCTCATGGCTCTGAAGTTGGCCTGTGAGTTTCTTACCAAAGGAGGCACCTTTGTCACCAAGGTGTTTCGCTCCAAAGACTACCAGCCTCTGCTTTGGATCTTCCAGCAGTTCTTCAAGAAGGTGCAGGCCACCAAACCGCAGGCATCCAGGAATGAGTCTGCTGAGATCTTTGTCATCTGTCAGGGTCGGTGTCATTAGCACAACCTTTATTATTTCATTCGCTTTTTGAAGACAATAAATAATGACCTTAATTTTGACCTTGTTCTTGACTAAACCTCACCTAAACCTCCCCCATTGTCGTCATCATCAGGTTTTGTTGCCCCGGACAAAATCGACAGCAAGTTCTTTGACCCCAAGTATGCATTCAAAGAGGTGGAGGTGCAGGCCAAAACTGTGAAGGAGCTGATCCCTGTAAAGAAGCCAAAGGCATGTATACTGACAAGTGTTTGGTCACGATAAGCATGTCAGAGCTGGCTGTGATTGCCTGTTATGAAAAGTTTTAGCTTTTAAACACTTTGTTTTATTTATCAGTCACAAGGTTTAAGACTTACTTTAAGGCACATTTGAGCCCAGAAATGAACCATCAGTGATGAAGCAGCTCTTCTTCTGTTGCAGGCGGAGGGATATACAGATGGAGATCTGACGCTCTACCACAGTTTCATGGTGACCGATTTTCTGAAAGCCGAGAACCCAGTCGACTTTCTGGGAAAAGCCAGTGAGGTGAGCTTTTTTTGTTTGTGTGTGTGTGTGTGTGGGGGGGGCTTTGAGACAGTCCTGTTAAGAATAAGAACTAAGAAGAAAACTCGTGCTTTTCTTGCTCTGTCTCATTCAGATCACCTTCAACAATCCTGATCTGGAGTTTCACTCAGCAACCAGCAATGAAATAAAGGAGTGTTGTCGTGACATCAAAGTCCTGGGCCGCAAAGAACTCCGGTGAGCTTTTCCATCTCTCACTCGCCACGTTTGTGCTTTAGTAAGCTGCTGCTACTTTACTGTGCTTGCACATCACATACATCAGATGGTGTGAGAACGTGTTGTAGCATGAAGTGTTGTTAACACGGGCCGTGTTTGCATGTCTTTTCTCACGTTTGCAGCCTGCTGCTGAACTGGAGGTCCAAGCTGAGGAGATACCTAGCTAAGAAACTGAAAGACGAGGCTAAGCAGCTCGACCAGGAGATCAGGTTTAAAAAAAGAAAAGAAAAAGCAATTTAAATATTAAATCTTTGTTAAAGTGTGTCACACATAAATCATCTCTACATTGTTTTTAGCTTAAGCTCGGATGAAGAAGGGAGCAATTCAGAGGAAGAAGCAGGAAAGAAGGAGGATGAAGAGGAGGAGGGTGAGGACAACGAGGAGGAAGAAATGGTGAAAAAGCTGGCAGAGCTGAAAGCTGAGGAGGTGGCTGAGCTCAAACGGTATGAACCGCTTTAGTTTTTTGTGTTTTCGGTGACATTAATTCCTCATCTTTCCTACTTTGTCTTGATAGGTACATCTTGCCTTAAAGAGAAGCAACACTTTACTTTTAGTTTCACCTCTTAGCTTTTGCCACGGATGCAGTTGTAGGGGCAAACCAAGAAACTGTCTCTTGCTGATTTGGCAGGAAGAAGAGGAAACTGCTGAAGGAGCAGCGGAAGCAGAGAGAGAGAGTGGAGCTGAAGATGGATCTACCGGGTGTGTCCATC